AGGTCAGTGAAATCCCCTCAGGATTTATCCTGAGATCCTGTACCTCAGATTGTAGAACCTTTGTCAGTGTCAGCCATGTGGATGAGTCACAGCCATTCCTTGGCCAATGTGCTCACCAAAGAGGAAAGTGATTGATGATGTAGAGTGTGCTTAAGGAGAGGCACATAGAGAGAAAACATTCTCTCAGGCTTTGTTTTTGTATTTTAGCACAGAGTCTATAGGATCTCACTATGTGGATTGGACTCATAGTGATCCTCCTGTTTTCAGCCTCATAAGAGCTGGCATTACAGGTGTGTACCACCACACCCAGTCTCAATCCCTGTCTCAGCATACCCCAGGGGTGGGGCCAGCATGACAGGCCCAGGGATTGAATCCCAGCTGCTGTGTCTGCCTAAGCAGGTGCTTTAGTCTGCTGAGCTATTTGGCCGGCCCTTGTATTCCTTTTCATCTCCACTTATTTCTGCTTTGATCTACTGTTTTTTTTAATAACTATGTCTTATTTATTTTTCTCATTACTAAAACAAAATCCCTAACACTACCAAGTTAAAGGAGGAAAAATTTACTTAGCTCACTGTTTGTAGATGTTTCAGTCCACTGGCTCCAACGCAGGGTGGCTTTGCATAGAAAAAATAGTTCCTGTGGGGCAGAGATCAGCAACACAGCAAGGCAGCACCTGAGCACTTTCTGCTGCGTGTCTCCTATCCAGGCTGGGGATGGGGCGCTACTCACACTCTCAATCCTAGTGCCCTTGAGCCCAGCACTGCACTATGAATCAGTCTTGTGTCACACACTCTACACGCAGCCGCCTCTGAGAAAGCCCCCTCTGTGACTGCGTGAGGCTTTGTGGGCAATATCTAGATTACCAAGTCAGCACGCTGACTTTGGATTTGGCATTTCTTGCTTTTCTTGTTACTTCAGTAGCACAATTAGGTTGTTTATTGGAAATCTTTCTTCTTTTTTATGTGGTATTTCTTTTTAGAAACTTACCTCTCTGTACTGCTCTTGCATTATCCCTTGCAGGCTGTTATGTTTATTCCCATAAAGAAAACTAGAATGTGCTTCAATAAGCTCTTATTTAGAACTTGCTTTACAAGTCTTTCTCGACTGCTAAATATTTCTAAATTAGCATTGACCATGCTATTATTATTTGCCCAGCCATTATGATGATTTCACTTCAGAATATATAAGCCACTTAGAAAGAGCAAACTCACACTCATTGCCAGTCTCCTTGGTCTCTCTTAATCCTTTTCCACCAGCACGCACCCCCCTGCAGCCGCTCCTCTACTTCATTCATCTAGCTTCTCTACACATAAATCTGCCTCTTCTGGACACTTCAAATAGAATCATACCATATGAGGTCCTTCGTGAATGGCCTTTTTCAATTAATGTAATTTCTCTGAGATTCATAGTGATGTAGCAGGAGCCAGCACTTCCTTCCTATTAGTTTCTGAATAACAGCCACTGTTCAGATATATTATATTGTGTGCGCTTGTTACATTGTGGGCATTTTGCTTGAATCTAATTTTGGTAGCTATAAACAGCTCTGCTGCTCCATTCCTATTTAAGTTTTCATCTGTCTTAATTTTTATTGATGGCATGTTTCAGCAGTGGAATTGCTACATCTAATAGTAAACTCTATGTTTCACATTTTGGGGGATTTGTCAATGGCTTTCCAAGCAATTCGAGTTTTATATTCTTACAAGCCACATTTAAAGGTTTTAACCTCACTACTAGTTATTGTTCTTGGCCACACTGGTTATTCTTTCTTTTTGATTTTGGCTTTTGTGTGGATATGAAGTAATATCTCATTGTTGTAATACCTATATTAGCATTTAAGAATTCATTAAAATTAAAATTTCAAATATTCCTGTTTCATTTTGTGATTGCTCTTTTGTCCTGTGCTTTTCCAAAGGTGAGGCCACCCCTGAGTGCCACACTTCTTCCAAAGGGCCTATTTCTCTTTGGAGTAAATTCATCTCAAAAACATAACATTTATGTATCCATATTTGTTGCTGACATTAAAATGGTGGGAAAAAAACAAAAAAATAAAATAAAATAAATAAAATAAAATGGTGGGAAAGCTGTCTGCATTCTTAGTGGACATGCGATGTCTAACATCACTGATTTTCAACAGTGCTGTCTTTTCCCTTCAGCACCTAGGCAGTGGCCAATAGGAAACCAAAGGACAAGGATGAGGGCTTCCCCTTCTCAAGGTCCTCCCCTGTCAGATTTTTATGTTGTCTTTCCGCTTCTTAAGGAAAGAAAGCTATATGAGGGGCCATTGAAGTTCGGTTTGATGAACACAGAAACCTAGGATGTCGCTGGAGTAAATGTACTTGACAAGACTCTGAAGTGCTCACAGCTTTGCTGAGTCAAGCTCAGGCTTCACATTGGTGGTTTTAGGTGGTTTTTCTCCTTGTCACCAGACTCCCATTTTCCTGGATAAAGACATATTGAAGTGCTGGATTGTTTTTGAGAACACATCAAACCCATAGGAACAAACATGGTTTCATTTCTTCTGGAAATTCATCCTCATCATGTGTATCCATTAGCTGGCTTACAGTTAGACTAGGAAGAGGAAGCCCAAAACACATTGTGTTTTAATAGAAAACAATTAATGATTTTTTGGAAGAGCAACAAAAATGAGAAAAGAAAAATCATCAGGGAGGGCCCATCAATAAAATGTTTAACACAAACAAAATATTTTACTGATGGGCATTCCCTGATGATTTTTTTCCTCATTTCTGTTGCTCTTCCAAAATTTTCTTTGTAAATTTCTGTGTAAACATATGTAATTATTATTCATATTTTTTAAAAATATTTTTCATTTTTTAAATTTTTATCTCCATATTCTGTAGTGACCTAATATTTAACATATAAATACTTGATGGAAAATACCTGCTCCATGTTATGCCTATGATGTTTGATATTCAGACAGACAGTGAAGTTAAACCCTACTGCATATGTTGTGGGGCAATAACAAGCTTCTCTTCTGGAGGGTTAACAATCTAAGTTTGCAGACCAAAAATTAGAGAAATAGAGGGGCTGCAAGGACAGCCAACATTTTGGCCCTAGCCTTTCAAGTCAATGAAGACTCAAGACATAGGAGAACCTGTACTGTAACATCATATAATTCAGTTGTGTCCCAAATTTTCTGATCAAGGAGATTATGAGGTCACAGAGCAATGTGATCGATGACGTAGAGTGTGCCTAAGGAGAGTCACATGGAGAGAAAACATTCTCTCAGGCTTTCACAGAGAGCAAATTGGTCAAGCAATGGCCATGACTCATCCACATGGCTGACACTGATAAAAGATCTGCAAATTGAGGTAGAGGGCTGCAGGACAAATCCTGAGGGTACTTGACTGACCTTATCAGATACAAGAGTTACATTTCTTGTTATGCAGGTCTTGCTTTACCTTGGTCTTAACCATCCAGCATAAAAGAATAAAAACGAGGTATATAAAGTCATATTAATATGCTGAACTGTAAAAGGCTCAAGTCAACAACTTCTGTGGATAACCCACTACTATTGTGGATCTCCTGGACTGTGTTGGATTGTTTTGCTGAATTCATGCACCTATAGTGTTCAGATGCCAATGGAATACCCCTTTCTGACAAGACTAAACAAAAAAGGGAGATATAAAGGAAGGATCATTTTGTATCTGTATATGCAGAATAGGATAGATACACAGCTACTTTTGCTTAATTCAATGAGATTTGTACTAATAGTGTGTGGACAGGATATTCTGTCTGCTTCTTGTACTATGGATAACTGCTAAGAAGATAACAATGTACAATGTATTAATTATTGAAACTGTCCCATTAATCAGTTTTGAAACTGTCTCATTGATATTTTTTCTCAATAAAATAAAATAATTTTTTTTTCTTTGTATTGTAGGTATCTTTTCCACTTCTGATTTTTTTCTAGTGTTTCAACAGATCTCAGTTTGTATCAAGGGAGATGGTCTCATTGGGAAAAAAAATGCTACAATAATGTAATTCTGGGAAATGACAATTTCAAGATCCCAACTTTACACGTTTCCCTTTCCTTGGAGTATTAAATAAAGAAAGAAATCCTTTACTCCACTACTTCCCATGTGTGTGTGTGTGGGGGGGAAGCTATCCGAATGGAGCTCTTACTTTTTAATTCTGCTTTATGTACCCTTTCCCCGCGTGGAATCAGAGAAGGAAAAGAGCCCCGGCAGTTGTTCCTGGCAACGGTCCCTCCTGCGCGGGTCTGCCTGGCCTAGCAGCCCCCTTCTGACCGCCCTTGCGCTCCTCCCCAGCCCCAGCCCCAGCCCCAGCCCCAACCGCAGCCATGCCGCAAGGCCGAGCACTGCGCCTGGTGACCCTGAAGGAAAGCCTGGCGGAAGCTGAGTCGGGGCGCAGGACTTCGAAGCCTGTGAATGCCCAGGATGCTAAGGAGGAGGAGAGGGAGACCAAGGCCTCCAAGAAGAAACCCCCCTACCTCACAATGCTGCCCACCGCAGTGCTGAGGCTCACTCGAGCCACCCGGAGGAGGAAGAGAGCCAAGCTTCCCTCTCTCAAGAAGGCACCCCAGGCGGTACCCCAAGACTCCGCCGAAGAGCGCTGCGGCCTGGGCTGTCTTGTCATCCCCTGTTGCCAGCGTTTCAATAGCATCAGGTGGTTTATGGCTTTCTATTGCGTTCTGCTGGTATCTCAAGGTGAGCGGAGGGTGATCGGTTGAGCGGTCCCTTAGTGAGAGAGCCAGGGAAAGGGCTGTCCTTGAACTTCCCTTGGGTACCAACTCCAAGTTGGATTCCATCTTTTGGACGCAGAAATAAAGTTGAAAATAAGTAAGTTTGAACTTCAGATTGCTGCTGCTCCTGTGCACATGTTTGAGACACCCTGGATGGTATTCCCACGCCTGTGAGGTGATGGAGAATGGTAGGTCAACCAGAAGTTTAGACCAGAGAGGGAAACGTGAGGATATTTACTTTTTTGCCTGTACTATTTGAAGAACGTGACTTTCATGCCTAAAGATGGACCATGAATTGAGTACTAGGCCAGAGTGCACATCAGTCCTCACAATATCCTGATAGTTTCTTAGCTTCTTCAAACTGATGGCACAGAACTTTGCCAGACCTGCCCCTTTTTTGCTCCCAAATGCTATGTGTAAATAGCTGTAAGAAAATGCTGCATGTGAAAAGGACCATTTGGAAGTAATAAAGTGGTAATTAGTTTGTCTTGAGAGCTTCCTAGAAGGTTTTTGGAGGAGGTCATTTGAGTTATGCCTTAATAGTTCAGTATAATTTTGATAGATAGCAATATAGTTGAGTATTTGTTTAGTAAATAAATGAATACAAGTCTTTGGGGACATACCCTTGAAGAGTACCCTGGGACTTCAGCATCTTCTTTACTTGTTATTCCATGTTCTATTCATAGATGTATGACCATGGTGCCCACGTCACCAGGAACCTCAAAACAATATGGCCAATGGATCAGGGGTCGGAGCCTCTGGAAAGAACGTTTTTGCATATTAGTCCTCTCTGATATTTGTTGCAGTGGTGGAAAGTCGATTAACACAAGGAAACTGGCACCTTGGGGTCCTTATAGTTAGTATATCCCTTGTGATGTGGGAAAGCCTTTGAAATTGATGTGCAGGAGGAATTTACAAAGCGTTGAAGGAAGAGAATCGATAAAGCTTAGACTGCTATGACTGAAGCAGATGATTGTGGTACAAGCACAAAAGACAGATGAGCAAACACAAGTGAGAACAGTGCAGGTTGTATTGATGAGATTTCTTATGAAAGTGATGTTTCTTTTGGCAATAGACCAGAGGCTTTCTTTACCATACTGTAGCAATTAATTTGGATGCCTTTTGCCAATACCCTGATAGCTTCAAGGGATCAACTTTACATGATAGAGAACATTTCAAGAAAGCATAGCTCTTCAACAATAACATGAAAATAATTTGGTGGTTTTAGTTAAATTTACAGTGAGAATCGAGAGTAAGAAGAGCATAAGAAAAGAGAATTGAAAATATTATACTTTGGCCAGGAAAGAACATGCTTGCAGGAGCTGCTAGAGAAGGTTTGGTTGTCTGCGGCCATACCACCCTGAACACTGGCCAATCTCGTCTGATCTGAGGGTCTAAGCAGGGTCAGGCCTCATTAGTACTTGGGTGGAAGAAAGTTTAGTTATTAGTGCCCACAAAAAGAACCCAAGTGCTTTGCACAAGAATATTAGGGAAGATTCCTGGAGGGAATCAGAAGTTGACAAGGCTGTAGCCATTACAAGCTAAAAGGGGTAGACCTAGAAATTTTTGTTTTAAAGACTTTTTTATTTTTTTTTTTAGTTCTTTGTTTTTTTTTTCTTTTCCATAATTTTATTGAGAAACAAATGGCAATGAGACAGTTTCAAACCAAACTGGTAGGACAGTTTCAATAATTAACACATTGCATACATTCTTCCTAGTGGTTAATTGCTGTACAAGATGTGGACTTGATATCCTATTTACAAACACCATTAGAACAAATCCCTCTATTCATTAAGAGAATGTAACTATATATCTATCCTAACCACTTTGAATACACAGATACAAAATGGACATTCATCTGTATCCCCTTTTTTTGTTAAGTTCCATCATTTAAATATTACAGGTGTGTATGGGGCCAGGGAGATGGTTCAGTGGAATAAGCATTTCCCTGGCAAGCTCAAGGGCCTGAGTTCAATCCCTGGTTCTGCCAAAAAATAAAAAAACAAATAAATATTATAGGTGTGTAAACTCAGCAATATATTCTAAAAGAGTTCAGTAGTCCATAATAGTATTGGGTCTTCCGCTTCACTGGCAATGTCAGAAATTGTTGATCTGAGTCCCCTACAGCTCAACATAACACCATGGCTTTACTTCTTATATTTTGTTTTTATACTTTTCTGCTGGATGGTTAAGACCAAGGTAAAGCAGGACCTATGCAACAAGAGTTGTAGCTTTTGGGTCTGTTAAGGTCAGTGAAATCCCCTTAGGATTTATCCTGAGATCCTGTAACTCAGATTGTAGAACCTTTGTCAGTGTCAGCCATGTGGATGAGTCACGGCCATTGCTTGGCCAATGAGCTCGCTTTGAAAGTCTGAGAGAATGTTTTCTCTCCATATGACTCTCCTTAGGCACACTCTACATCATTGATCACTTTCCTCTTTGGCCCCATAATGTCCTTGATCAGAAAATTTGGGACACTACTGAGTTACATGACATTACAGTGCAAGTTCTCATATGACCTGAGACTTAATTGACCTTGGAAGGCTAGGGCCAAAATGTTGACTTTCCTTGTGGACCTCCTTTTTCTCTAATTTTGGTCTGCAAACTTAGGTTGTTAACCATCCAGAAGACAAGCTTATTGTTATTACCATACAACCCAGGCTGTTAAGCTTAACCTCACTATCTCTCTGAATATCAAACATCTTAGGCATAACATGGAACAGGTATTTTTCATCAAGTATTGATATGTTGAATTTTAAGTCCCTATAGAATATGATGAAAAAACATTTAAAAATTAGAATATATTTTTTAAAAAAGGCATAAAAATTGTATACTTCTTATGTTTACACATAAGTCCCAAAATCTCACCCTATACAACCTTGAAGCAGCACAGTCCCACAATATTCCTTTTCCTATCTCTTGCCTTCATTCACCACCCCCTTCTTTTTGAACAGTCATCTACCCAAGAGACAGCACAGCAGCAACTGATTTTTGAATCTAGCAGTTAATTGGAAAGATTCTCACCCTGACTAACTATATGTACTGATACCTGTGTACTAAGCAACTGCACTGAAGATGGTGATCTGTAATAGTAGTTTCATGCTTGGAGTGCCTGTCAGTCTGGTCTTCTGAATATGGGCTGCTTATCATGACATGCCAGTTAAAGACTTTTTTAAAAGCCCTTGGGTGTCTTAGCTTGCTCAAAACACACACACACACACACACACACACACACACACACACACACACCAAAAAAAAAAAAAAAAAAAACCTAGACAATTTTTCTGTGTTTAGCCAGCAAGGTACTCAAAAGCTGTTGCATGAGTGATTCAAATGGGTGCCATTACTTGTCCTGGTGGTAGACCTTGGCATTGTCCAGATGATGGTGGATGCTGCTGCAAGCATGTGGAATAAAAAAATTATGACCTCGTGGGAATTTCCACTGAGATTTGAAAAGAGAATCTTGGGAGACCAGGAAGTGCACTGCTGTGTTGGTGTCCCTGTAAATGCTTAGCGACAGGGCAGCATGTGGGTCTCTGAAAGTAAAGCAGGAGCTGTGGTCGAGTCCACCCCAGGAAAGAGCTGCCAGCAATGTGGAGCAGCTGTTGGGAGAGCAGCAGGGAATATAGGAGCCTTACAAGGGGAGGGCTGCTGCACTCATGTAGCCTAGCCAGAGAAGCAAGGCTGCCCACTCTCTTGGGAGCCTACGTGAGTTGTACTGCGCTTAGATGTGGGAAATAAAGACTAAAGTTTTCATGCTTTTCCTGCTAGACTTCAGACTAATTTTGACCTGAACCTTTATTATTTTCTTGTTTCTTGTACAATAGGAGGTATCCCCTCTGCCTTATCATTCTATCCTCCCAGGATATAACTCCATTTTTAATTTTTATAAGGGCTCATCATTTTGTTTGCCTTAGGTCCTGCAGGTGAGTTTCTATTATTAACAATTCTGGAACAGTTTGGACTTGAAATTCTTGCAAATATGATGTATTAACCAGCTTTCCCGCCAGCCTGATGATTTTTTGAAGGGAAAATACCAGCAGGAATTGCTCCTGTGAAAATGACTCTTTACTTCTTCATTTCTCAGCTTCATTGTCGTTGCCACTGTCCTACTCACTGTGACTCTTCTGAATTTTTATGTGACTTCCAGAATCACCTGTGTCTGGAGCACTCTCAACATTGGAATGTAACCCTTCAGTCTTAAATGCTCATTTTCTAGCCTTGTAAGATTTACTTTCATTTTCTTATTAAACCCAAACTGATAAATGTTTTCACAGAGGATATGATTCCTTAAAGATGTGATATTTGGAATTTTTATCTTATCTGTTTAGATTTTTAAAAATTTATTTTACTGATATTATATAGTGATCATATTTATCCTAGGGAATTTATACCTGTTCATGATAAATCTTGATTCTGATAAGATTTTATTTATTTATTTATTTATTTATTTATTTATTTATTTATTTTGTGTTTAGGACAGGGTCCACAGGGCCTACAGGGCCTCACTACTTAGATCGGACTCGTAGTGAGTCACCTGTGGTCAGCCTCCCAAGAGCTGGGATCACAGGCGCGTGCCACCACGCTGTCTCAATCGCCGTCTCAGCCCGCCCCAGGGGCGGGGCCAGCCCGGCATGCCAGGGATCTAACGAACCCTGGTCACTGAGTCTTGATAAGATTTTAGTGTATTAATGACCTTATTACTAATGCAAATTACAGAATGAAATTGCCTACCTATGGAACGCAGTGATGACATACTGGTTTAAACTAAATTGACTGAAGTCATGTGCTTAAAGTAAAGCTTACCTCTCTGGGTTTCTTTTATTTTCTTTCTTTTTTGGCCAGCTCAGCCCACCCTGGTGGGTGCCAGGAATCAATTCGCGATCCGCTGGGCCTGCCTAAGCTTGCCTAAGCAGGTGCTTTAGACCACTGAGCTATCTTACTGGCCCCTGTCTTATTTTCTGG